ATATATGTTATTTAATTAAACTATTAAAATTTATTGAATAATCAAAATTTTTGAATAAAATATTATCAAAAAAAATTATCAAAATTTCAAAGTAAACGCGTTTTCCATTTTTATGTTTTCGGAAACAGTTTTTCAGAATGGCAAAAAGAACACATTTTCAGAAATTTCAAAACAGACACTCAAAACACAAAACACAAAACGAATTCAAAACTCAAAACACAAAACTGAAACACGAAAAGAACGGCCCCTTAATCTTTCTGGATTGAAAGCTTTTATTTCTGTCTTGCAGGGCAACTTTAAAATCAATATCGAAATGTTAACAACTAACATTGGGATCGATAGACACTATATCCTCATGCCTTCAAGCGAAGACATCTAATTTTTTTGAAATGAAGCATTTGAACTTATCCTTAGCTTTGACAGATAGGTTTATGCCACTTGCAACACTTTGCTAGGATCATGTGGATCTATTAGGAAGTTTTCCAATTCTTCGATTAGGGCTTTTTGAGAATCGGATCCCAAAATCCTGAGGTCTAGCTTATCATACATGATCTATTCTCTGAGGGTTATCACTTGTTGATGAAGCTCTCTTTTATTTGGCGATGTTCTTTCTTCAATGACTTTCCCTTCTTCAGGGGATCTATCATCATTAACCTTTCTTTAAGGGCTTCTACCATGTCAACATATTCTTCTTATTTAGGAATAGGCCCTTCTTTAGGGACATCAACCATTTCAGTGTCAAATAAGACCATGTTTACATCACGGGGTTCGGCTTCCGTAGAGTGTTTAAGTAACACTCCTTGGCCCCAATTTGATCACCTCTCACAGTGGCTATGCCATGTCCAGTGTGAAACTTAATGCATAGGTAATAGATGGATATGACAACCCAAAGTTTTTTAGAGGCAAATCTTTCCAGTATTACATGAGAGGCGAACCAGTTATTAACTATTAGGAACACTAAGAAGTGGCGAGCCATTAGTAGGGGTGTGCCTATCTCCATAGCCAAAGTTATCTTACCCCTGGGGATGATGTAGTTGCCTGTGAACCCATATTAAGGCAATGTCATTGGGGGTGAGTTCATGATCCACAGCCATTTTGTTGAAAGTAACTTCAAACAGGATGTTGATTGAGGTTCCATTTTCTTCCAACATTCACTTTAATCCATTGTGGGACACTACAGCCCTTACTATTAGGACATCACAGTGAGAAAAATGTAGATCTGATGTATCCTTCTGGGTGGAGATGATAGGAGGAACGTCCCTGGATTCTCCGGGGTGGGTATAGACGATGAGGCTTGTCATTGAAGGGTCATTCGCCTCTCTCACATAATTTTTTTGGAAATTTCTAATCCCACCTCCAACGTATGGCCCTACAATGATGGTGTCTATTTCGCATATAGGTTCAACATTCCTTTCTATTAGGGGTTTTCTCCCCTGTCTCTATCTATCCCGTGGTCTTCGCCCGTTTTCTTCCTTTCCTTGGTGGGGAGAAACCTTTTTAGGAGGTCGCCTCGCCTCATCCTGCTTAGGCCTACACGAGGGCTTATCTCTTCTTTGGGTATGATTGTTTCTAGGACGATACAGTAAGGAGGAGGAGTCCCTAGTCTTATGTTGAGAACTTTGGTGATAAAAGCAATATGGTACAACCCTATGCTTGCTTCTTCATCCATTTTCTCTACCTCTAGCCCAGCATGAGGTGGCTACCTTGGTGTCGTTGGAGAGACATCCTCATATTCTAGGCTTGGTACAACATTTAGTATGGTAGAAATGAGGGCCTGGCCAGATGTTTGGGCCACAGCATGCCCAACTTGGTTCCATTGATGATCTACCAAGTGAGAAACGAGGCCTCTTCCTCTTTGTCTCTATGCGGGTGAGAGTCCTAGGTGGCCCTATTGCGCTGGTTAATCAATTCCTCATTGACGATCTCACGACTTATCATTTCTAGCACTTGATCTTAGGTGGTCAAATTGACGTTCTGCATATCTCCCCAGAAGATAACATTCATATTGAGGCCTCTTCTCATGGTAGATAGGGTTTCCCTATTTGTGACTGTATACAACAGGCCATCTCATCCGTAAAACGTCTAACAAAGTTCTTCAGCGTCTCATTAAGCTGTTGCCTCATGTCCTAGAGGCATTGGATGTGGACCACCCCTTCTTTGCTGGCTGCATATCACTTCATGAATCCTTTTTGAGTTTTGGTCAACTTCTAGCCCATGAAGACTCCAAATTCGAGAAAAAAGTAAAGGAAAGTATAAATACAAGAAGACATGCACTTGAGAGGAGTTCCACACTTTGAGAATCAAAGAACACAATTTGAGATCGAGGAGAGTGAATCAAATGAGGAAAAAATCAAGAAATCAAGGGTTTAAAGCATTGATTGGAAGAACAAGAAGACCTTGGTACAAGATTCATCCACTTTTTCTACACCTTTAATTCAAATCCGATGATGTACTATATAAGAATCTTTTGTTTTTCTTCTTATATCATGAAAAGCTAAATCATATATTAGAGCGAACAATGTAATATATTTGAGACCAATAATTTGTTTTATTCAAGATTCTAGTTCTTTCATCATATATGTGTTGATTTTATTCATGAATTTAGTACTTTGAATTACTTGATCAACAATTCAATGATTTTGTGAATTTTTTACGAATCGATAGATGAGTTTTAGATTTAGGCCATATAGCAAAATTTGGTAATTTAGAATAAAACGTAGAGATACTTATACTAATTATTGCGGTCATTAAATGAATTCTTAGAACAAATATTATGTTTAACTAAGAATGATTCATAGAAAGATATGTGATTGAATTAGCTAAATAGTCTCAATAAGAACTTGAGAAGGGTAAATTGAATACAATATAAGAATTTGATCGAATACTACATTAGATTTGTGAATCTTGAATTAGAACTTAAAGATAATCAATAGACGAAATTGTTATGCTCTAATATCTCATTCTATATTTGGATCCTAAATTGATATTTGTGTGCATATTGCTATTTTTAGTTAGTTAGATATAGATAGAAAAATAATCACAACAATCGTATTCGTTTACATTCATCAAATAGGAGTTAAAACAGTAGACTAGGAATAAAGTATAGACCTCGTGGGAACGATTATCCGGAATCAAATGTCTATTATATTACTTATTATGATATCGTACAACTTGCGATAGACAAAACGAAACAATTGACAATAAAAGTAACAACAACGTGATTTATATAGACATTCCACCCGACGTAACAATCATTAGGTTAAAAGTTGTGAATCTTGATCATCTTTGTGGATATCTAATCTGAGCCCCAGAATGTCATGGGACATCACTTCTATTTCCAAGGGATGGTCGAGATGCTTACACGTCTCACGCGCATTTCAAACCTATTTTACCACTTTCCAATACCATGATTAACAAATGCAATGATTATGTTTGAAATAAATCTTTGAGTTAATTGATTTCACAGATGCAGTTATAAATTGTAATGTATTTTTAAAGGCCATAAAATTTCACATCCAAGATATTGTGTCAATCCCAGTATGCTTGGTAATTTCGCAATAGCTTTCACACCGAAGCTCTAGGAAATGTCTTTGTATAGATTAGGGATTTGTGCCTCATAAAAATGTTCCAAGGTCTTGGTAGTCCGACAGACTTCTAAGGTTCATCTAATTATTATTAGGTGTTAAGGCTTGGGGTCATCTATAAACCCTTGGTGATTCGAGGTGTCAATAAAATATTTGTTCATTGACTCGTGATTATCATTAATGCCACCCCGGTTGTACGTAATTTTCTGGGCCCTCGTCTAAAACTCTAAAATGTCGGGGCTACTA